CTGGCACAGGTTGCCCAGAGAAGCTGTGGCTGCCCCATCCCTGGAAGTGTCCAAGGCCACGTTGGAGCAACCTGGGCTAGTGGAAGGTGTCCCTGCCCATGGCAGGGGGTGGGATGAGAGGAGCTTTAAGATCCCTTCCAACCCAAACCATTCTGTGATTCTGTGACTCCCACAGCCCCCAGCTGTCTGTGTGTGTGTGTGTTTGTGCAGGTGCTGCTCAGGGACCACGATGCAGCCACCCTGTCCCCGGGGTGCCTGGGCTGTTGCCCTCAGCGGGACCCGCTCTGGCCAGACCTGACGGTGCTCCAGCACCTGGAGGCATTTGCTGCTGTGAGAGGGATGAGGAAAGAAGATGCAGCTCTTGCCATCAGCTGGTATGAAGCCAAGTGATCTCAGCTCTTGGTTCTCCCTCCCTCCAGATGCAGGGTCCCTCCCAGCCCAAGCCACACCACGAGTCTATAGGGCAGGGAAAGGTTTTTTCCTGATAACAAACCTGGTTGGTGGTCACAGCACCAAGCCTGCCAGAGCTCAAGGAGCATTTGGATGATACTCTCAGGCAGATGGGGTGACTCTTGGGGATGGTCCTGTGCAGGGCCAGGAGGTGGACTCAATGATCCTTGTGGGTCCCTTCACACTCAGCATCTTCTATGATTAAGTGACAGAGCCTTCAATACCTCTTTACCTCAGAGAAATGGGATGTCCTGATAAGATCTGCTACTTTATACTCTTCTCAATCCCTTGTCAATGAAGATTTTAGCCTAAGTTTATCTAGAAAACTTAAGGAAAAAATTAAAACTTGCTCCAGTTCATGGCCAGCTATATGAGCAACTCATTTCTCTCATTAGCTGCACTTATTGCCTTGAATTCCTGCAAAAATTCCTTAATTTACCATCCAAGTTAGGAGTAAAATCACCAAGTAACCCAAGGTGATATATGTAGTCAGCCAAGACAGGTATGTCTGGTTCCTCAGCTCCCCTCACCACAGTGTTTGCACACCGAGATGGTCATTTTGGCATTTTCCTTTTCCATTGCCCACAGCATAGCCAAGGCCTTGGACCTCCTGAAGCATTTCAAAACCCCAGCCAGGAGGTTATCTGCTGGAGAAGCCAGAAAGGTACGTGTTACCTTTGTCTGTGTTACCTGAGCAAACCCTGCTTGCTCTTCCTTGGACATTGTGCACAGAAAACCTTCAGCTGAGTGGATTCCTGGCATCATTTATTTTCACCAATAGCCTTGGAATTGAGCTTGGCAGGTTCCTCCCTCCCCTTCCCCCTACTCTCCCACACTGTGTGTTTAATAAGTGCTAAGCACAAATTGGATTTACAAGGTAATCACCTCTTCATGCCCCACCATGTGCATCTGCCAGCAAATGGGATGGAAAAGCACTTTCTCATCTTTGGCAGGCTTAGGAGTTTTGGGGAAATCTGATTTTGAGAGATTAAAATGTTAACTGAGAACACCTGATGTGTTGTTTTTTTTTTTAATCCATGTTCCTCCTGCGCTTTGGAATCAAGAGCTTCAGCCTTGAAAAGATGCACAAGGATTAAGATATATCAGGACAACTCACCAGTTTTGCAGGTGAAGTAAAGCAGACCTGACCTCGTGCTGTTCCCATTTCAGCTGTGCTTTGCTCTGAGCATCCTGGGGGATCCGACGGTGATGCTTTGGGATGAGCCATCCGTGGGAATGGACCCGAAGGGGCGGCGCCGCATGTGGTGAGCGTGACAAAAAAGCAAAAATTCCTGTTTTCTTCAGAGAAAAACTAAAAATCATGGGCAGTTCTTCCTTTAGTCATTCAGCCCTCATGTTTGCTTTAGCTTTTCACCAACAGTTTACACCAAAAGTGTAAAATTTGGAGGGGGTGCTGCCATGACAAACTGCAGCATGGCACTGTCACCCACGACATCTTCAAGCGAGATAACTGAAGTCTTTTAAACAGTCATGCTTTTAGGAAGGGAGACACATAAACCAGATTTTCTTCGGCTGTTCCTGGGAGGTAACTGTGATCCCTCTGTCCCCAGGAAGGTGATCCAGAGCTCCATGAAAAGCAGGGAACGAGCAGCCATCCTGAGCACGCAGTCCCCGGAGGCGGCGGCGATGTGTGACCGCGTGGCCATCCTGGTGTCGGGGCGCCTACGGTGGGCACTGGGTCACACCCAGCACCAGGATGGCACCTGGTTTTCAGTCTGGGGGGGCTTGTTTGGCTTTGTTTGGTTTTACTTTCATTTTGCCTTTTTTTTTCCCTTCCTAATCTAAGGGAAAATACTGGTTTGGATTGTGGCGAGTGTGTAACCAGCGGTTTTTGTGCGTTTCTGCTGCCCAACCCCAGCGACTGCTTTATCTGCTGATTATGGTGGGTTGAGCAATGTTTTCCCTCCTCTGCAGGTACATTGGTTCCCCTGAGGATCTCAAGAGTAAGTTTGGCACGAGTTACCACCTAGAAATCAAGATGTCAGACCCAGAGAAAAGCGATGCTCTCCACGCTGATATTCTAAACCTGTTCCCCGGCGCAGCTCGGCAAGGAAGGTGAATGTCCTGTGGGATTTGTGCTGGGATTCTCTGTTGCTCCCACTGACCTTGCTCAATAATTTACCTGGGAGCACAGTCGCCCTACAAGCCCCTCAAACGTTGATGCTGAGTCACAAAATGATGAATTAATTTTTTTTTTTTGTTGCCTTTTCAGGACTTCCTCCTTGCTCATCTACAAGATACCAATGGCAGATGCACTACCCCTGTCCCGGTCTTTCTCCAAGTTAGAAGCAGGTAAAAGGAAACAATCAATTAAGTAAGGAGATGGCTTTCAAGCTGTTTATATGGATTTGGGTTTTAAGGATATTTTCTCCACCCCTCTGCAGCTAAACAGAATTTCAGGCTTGAGGAGTACAGCTTGTCACTGAACACTTTGCAACAGGTACGTTATGTGGGAGTTCCAGGTTAGAAACTGCCTGTATAAAAGGAAGAAATAGCCCATGACCAGCACAAAAATGGTCAGTCCTTGGCAATAATGGGGTTGTTTCCTCTGTGCCACGTTGCAGGTGTTTGTAGACATCACCAGGGATGCAGAGGAGCATGACCTGGATGCAGCATCCAACGGGGCTGTGGAGCAGAGACCCCTTCAGCCCTGACTCTTGGAGCCACAGTGAAAATATTCAGTGTATTTCATCAGTGTTCCTGATCCCTGTGATCAACTGCAGCCCCAGAACTTGGTTACTCACGCCACAACACAACCAGCTCTGCAGGTGTTCTGCCTCACAAAGAGAAAAAGAATTATTATTTTAATAAATAAAGCTTTTATCCTTTGACAAACTGATGCCTGACGTTCATCTGTACCCCTGCTCTGACTGACTTATTTGTTGTGCTGAGGAATAACCCTGCTGGGATGAATTGCTGGTCCCCAGGCAGAGAGGGAGACTGTGGCTGGGGGGTGGGGGGGACTTGTTCAAACTCAGAGGAGGCTCTGACACCTCACTCACCCATGGCAGGAGGGCAACAGGGCTTTGTCTTGCTCAGTCCTGAAAAGCATCTCTCTGGGTGGTGTAATGTGGCCATAGAGGTGGTGATTGCTGGTGGAGTCTTTTGTGTTTTGACCCAAAAATCTGCTGTTGCTGTGTGTTCCAGCTCAGGTCACCTTGGAGCCTCTCTGGTCCCCACCACTGGAGACACAGAGACAAGGAAAGGACTCAGCAGTGCCTGGAAAAGTGTCATGAAAACTGGCAGCTCTTGTATCATCACTTGTAAAACCCCAATGATTATCAAAATGAGATGTGCTTTGACCCAAAGGAACAGTGCAGAAGGACAGCAGGCTGAACCTTGCTCTGGTCATTGAGAAGACAGGGTGGGCTTCTTGACAGCACCCACCCCTGGGGGAACTGGTGGGGAGACCAGCCACCAGCACCCTGACCCTGTCTGAGCAGATCAGCATCTCCTCTTAAACACCTGCCTGCCAGGGCTAGCTTTGAAGAATAAATTTACAAGAAAAAAATAAATCTGAAGAAAAATGAAACTCCCTACATCCAGGCAGCCAGGTGATTCCCCTGGTGCCCTGCTGTCCTGTCCCCCAGCATCCTCAACCTCAAGGAAAGGTGGGCTGGGGACCCACTGGAGGAGAGGGGCAGTGCCATCCCATGGGATGGACAGAGCAGCAAGACCTTCACCCATCCCCCTGGTTCCTGTGGATGATGCTGGTGCTACAGGGATGGATGATACAGGCAGGGAGAAAGCAGGTGGTTCAGGCAGGCAGAGGTGCATGACCAGGCAATGCAGGCAGGGATGTGGCCAAGCAGGTACCAGCAGGTGGCTGCCGTGGCTCAGAGATGGGCTGTTCCTGCCAGGAAAAATCCCCAAAGCGGCCACCCACACCCCCAGAGAGCTGCTTTCCACGTGGATCTCCAAACATCAGGGCTCTGTCAAGGAGCTGGGCAGGGAAGTGTCTCTGCTTGAGATTCACCGACTGGGAACTGGCATAGCCACCTGAGGGTTGGGTTTTTTTTCTCTTTGAAAGAAGTGGAGAAGGTTTGGACAAGCAGGAGATGTACTGGGGACAGGTTTTAACCTCATCCTGTGCCCTGACTTACTGCACCTCTGCAGTTTGCCTCGCTCTGAAACATCAGAGTGTTAATTAAATCTCAGGGGTTGTTTTTTTTCTGTCAGGCAGAGCAGAGGGAAGCAAATCCAGCTCCTCCACATCTCCAAGCCCAGCCTCTGTCCCAGCTGGTCATGCTCCCTCCCACCACGGGTCCCTCAGCCGTGCTGCTGCCGGGGACGCTGCAGTGGCACAGCCCGGGGATGGAATCAAACCCACCCCCTTCAGAAGCTCAGAGTTAGCCAAGGGAAGTTTGTTTCAGTGTTTACAACATGTTTTTTCATCGAAAGAGCTGTTGCTATCTAGGAGGCAGCGCTTCACTGCTCCTCCTGTGCCGGGGCTGGAGGCACAGGAGCAGTTTTCCAACACAGCCTTTGCCATTTGGAGAGGAGGGAGAGCCACCGTTTGCCCCCCTGCCTGTGCCGTGATATCGTTGACTTCAGCCTCTCTTGCTGCACTGAGAAACACAATGGAGTTTGCCAGAGGAAGGTTTTTTGTGTGGTTTGTTGTTGGGCTTGTTTGTCTTCCCTTGGCCAAGACTCAAGAATTTCCCGAGCAACTTTTCAGAGAATCCGCTCCAGGGACTCAACAGCAAAGTGCTCTGTTTGCTTTTTATAACACAAATAAAGCTGAAACTCTGCCAAGGAGGAAGAGGGAAGGAAGCCAGGGAAAAGAGAAGCGATGGTGTGAGGAATGCCTTTTACAGAAGTGCCTGAGTGAGGAAAGGATTGTGTGGACAAAGGAGCACTGAGAGCCACCAGGACAGCTGGCCAGTCCATCCCAGGGAGCCTCAGCATCCCCACTTCCACAGGCATACAGTGAAGGACAAGCTCTGGATCCCTTCCAAACTTTCCCCTTAAGGTAAGGCTTAAGCATTCTTCCTAAAGCAAATAAAAAAAATGTTATTTTAACGGTATGAAAACATCCAGTAAATTATAACCCCGTTAATAATACCGGGAGAGGATGTGTAGGTGAGGCACTGGGTATCTTTCTAACAGGCTGAGTTAAGCTTGTGATTAAGTTTAGGGGCTGTTTAAAGGCAATAGACTCTTTTTAGCCTTACTTTGAGATGAAATAACACACAAACAGAGCTCAGTGTACAGCAGAGGTTTATTTCCAGTGTTTCTGGGCATTAAGAGGATGCTGTAGGTTCAGCTTAGCTCAGTACTTTAATCCAGCACATACAAGGAGCAGATTTCTTTCCCTACATGCAGTGTAAGCTAAAGGCTGAATTTTAAAAGCCCTGTCATTTAACACTCTTAAAAATTCCCCCTGAAATACCGCAGGAGCAGAGAAATCAGTCCTACCTCATTTCCCCAAACTCTGCAGCAGTGGGATCAGACAGCACTGAGGGGTGACCAGGAGGAGGGACACGTGGGATATCCATGATGGGAACCTGGTGTGCCAGCTCTCCCTCCCACCCAGGATCTCCTGGGTGTGTCAGCTTGTTGAGGTTACTCCATGTGACAGAACGAAGGACAAACTGGAAACCTGCTTTAGCTGTGACACAAGCCCCTTGCCAGGGTGGAAATGCACAGGGGTGACACACGACGTCCTACACCTCCCTTCTGCTGGGTGACAGGGTGACCACGGATTTGTAAGTTTTATTTTGGTTTCCCCAGGGAAGTCTGGTTGTTACTACACAGGCTAAATTCCAATTTTTATACACTTGGATTTAGTGAGATCATCTGTAAAAAAAAAAAAAAGCCAAAAATCTGTTTAGAGATGCTGGGAAAGGAGCAGATTCCTGCCCCTGAGCTGTGTCCGTGCCCTGTCCTGCTGTGCCAGTGCAAGTGTTTGCAGTGTGTGCCCTGGGAAGGCCATTTGTTGCAGCTGCTTTTCCAGCATTTCCCTGCCTACTGTGTCATTACTCGGGGATGTGCCTCTCCCAGGAGCTGAATGTAAATATTTGGGAGAAGATGATAAACTCCATCTTGCCTGTCAGCACTGTGAGGCATCATCCCCCAAGGGAACAGGAAAACACAAATCTTCCTTCAGTGTGACAGGAAGGCTTGAAAGGATTAGATCTCTAAACTGCTCTGGTATTTCTACCTGAGAATCACTTATAGAAGACAAGGATCTTGTTTGAAAGCAGATTTTAGCTACAGATGTGACAGCAGAGTAGTTGGGCTGTGTGAGTGGAGCCGTTTTGCATAGGGGTACTTAATCCTTTCGCTCATTAAAGGCACTAATAAATATCTTACTCACGGTTAATATGCACATATCTCAGCTGCAAAGCAGTCTGACAGCCAGCTTTGTGCCTTCCTATTGCAGTTTCCACCACCAGCATTAATCCAGGCAAAAATTCCTTGTTTTTTTTTTTTTTTTAAATCAGATCTTTTTAAGGAAGCTCCCATGTCTTTTGGAGCAACACACCAGTGCATGCTCACGGCTACCTGTTTTTCTCTCATTTTTCATTAATATCCCAGCACTGACATCCCTCCCAACGCACTTCCAAGAATTTGTTCTCTCGTGGCTCCGAGTTGCCTTCGACTGGCGCCGTTTTCCAAGTGATCTCAGCTCACACCACAGCCAGGAGTTGCTCAACCCCTCTTGGTGTTGAGCCTGTAGCACATTAAAATGACATGCAAGAGGATTTTAGTGACTTTAATTCACTGTGGTGTTGTCATTCCTTAGATACGAAGCCCACCCAAGCCAATTAGGTCATGTAGTACGATGTTCCCTTTTTTTTTATTTCTTAAATAACTCCTCCCAACCTCACCATGCCACACCATGGAAGCCTGGAATTCTGGTTATAAATCAGTGTTTGCTGCTGAGCTGGGAGGGCTGGAGTGTGTGGAGGGTGATGAGGTCTCTTGGACCCTGTGCTGCGGGGGTGGCTTGTGCTCAGTACACAACATCTGAGATGCTTCAGCTCTCATTTTTGCTGTAAAAAGGGAAAGAAAGTGTCACTGGGCACATCTGCAAGGACTGTGCAAATAAAAGCAATCTCTGCTGCTTTAGCAAGTAATTTTTTTCAAAAAGAACTTGCCTGTAGGTTCAGAGATGAAGACACTGCAGAGAAATATGAGTGTATTCCAGCAAACGAAAATTCTCTTGTGGAAAAACGTCCTTCTCAAGTGGAGGATGAAGATGCAGAGCTTTCAGGTAAGAAAAAATTAAAAATGACAATAAAAAAAGAGCAGCTAAGCACTGAGAGTGGCCAATCCCTGCCTGCCCCTGGACACCAATTTCTTTAGATAAAACTAGAAGTCAAAGTACTTTTGTAAAGCATGACTGGTAGTGAACACTTTGAGACTTTAATATTTTAACTGATGGTTTTTATACCTGGTTTGTGACATGTGAGAGCTCAGATGGGCTCTTTGGATTAATTTCCTGAGGTGATGGGCACAATGCAGAGAGAGCCTTGACATCTCAGAAACTGGAGTGACCGAGTTCCTCTGCTTATATTTTAATCCCACAAAGAATCTGCTCTTACCCTGCTATATCTAATGTGTTATTTATTTCTCCCCCCTGCTCTGCCCCGTGCCCAGGAGTGGATGCTGTCCCTGCTCTTCCTGCCCATGCTGTTCATCGTGTCCCATTTCATGGGGCACATGCAGTACCCCGAGGTGCCCTTCAGCCACCTCGGGCACTTGGATGATCCTGCCTATAACACCACCGGGGTCACCGTGGCTTTCACACCCACCACTGCCACCACCAGGCAGATCATGAATAAAGTGGCCTCCAGCTCTGTCATGAGGGGTAGGTTTTGCTTTTTAAATGTTGAGTTTTGTCATTATTTAGCCTCTTCACACCTACGGTATGTTCTAGTGACTCACCAGAATCTTTGGTCAGGAGAGAAAATTCACCCCAAATCCCCTATTTTCACAAATATTTCTTCCCTAGTATTTAAATTACTGGTGACACCAGTGTGTTCCTCTGAACTGTAAAGCTCTGCCTTACCTGATATTCCCTAATTCTTTTAAGACATCCTGGTTCATTCTTTTCAGTTGCACTTCTTAACTGGTAAAGCATAAAGTATTTTAAGGTAAATATCTCAATGAGAACTGGAAAAAGAGGTGTTGAAATGCTGAAAAAACAGAACATACCCCCAGTGCCCATGGACACATTTCCAGACTTACAGAAACTCATTGCAACATTTTGCTTACACACCACAGGTATAAAACTGGAGGCACTGGACAATGAGAACGCCCTGGAAAAAGCCTGGATTTCAAATAATGAAATTATAGGGGTTGTATTTAAGGACAATTTCTCCTATCACCTCAGGTTTCCTACTGCAAATGTGATTCTTCCCAACGAAATCTTTGGACACATAGGTAATACAAAAGGAAAATTCTTGGGCTGGTCATTGCCTGGCATGGACAGGCATCATTTTGTCAGAATAATCCATATATGTTCAGTGATTTAATAAACTGTGGGGGTTTCTTTGTTTTGTTTTTTTTTTTGTCTGTGTGTCACTACCCATTTGAAGAGTTTCCCATAGTGCAAATGTATTCTTTCCATCCCCTTCTGTAGTGAAAATCAACTCCCTTTCTCTGCTCTTACCTGTGATGCCCTTAACCTTGCAGACAGCTGTTATAATTTCTCATCAATGCACTGTGACAGCCCAAAGTACTGGTACAAAGGCTTCCTGTCCCTGCAGTCCAGCATTGATGCTGCTATCATAGAGGTAAATCCAACTTGGGAACTGATGTAGGCATCCTTTTATTTTAAACTTGACACAGGGAAGGCAAACTGTACCGTGGGAATAGCAAGGGGTGGGTTTGTCGGCAAATAAAGCTGCCTTAAAAAGTTGATCTAGGGAGGATGAATCAGAAGGTTCCTTATACAAATACATCTCACTGTAGAAAAATAAATGGAATACTGACACGTTGACCTTGAATTCCTTTAGGTGGTGGCAAACCATTCTGTTTGGGAAGAAATGAATTCAATTGCTGGAGTCCGGATGAAGTCCCGGAGCACCATCGTCTCGATCACACTCGACTACGGTTATTTCATGATCACCATCGTGATGTGCTTCTTTCCCTTCATGTATTTCTTATCAATGAACGTCACAAGAGAAAAGAAGAAGCTCAAGGTACTGATGAAGACGATGGGGCTGCAGGATATTGCATTTTGGTGAGTTCTTTTCCAACTAAAGTGCGTCTGCCAAAAATCGGTATGTTCCAGGGCACTTGTGCAGTCAGGTAATAAGTTAAATGAGTTCATGAGTTTTCTCCAGCACTCTAAGGACAAACCAGAGGGTTGAGCATGGCAGCGGTGTACCCTTCTCCCGTGGGTATTTCCTCCTAAGGTGGATCATGCTCTGTGTTCTGCCTTGGGATGTAAAGGAGTTGACCGTGGGAAATAACCAATATTTAAATTTAAAACGGTTCTGATGTGGCAGATGAAGTTACAACAACACTTCTTAATTAACCAGAAGTGTCATGGCCCCTTTCCATCCATCCCCAGGCTCTCCTGGAGTTTGCTGTATTTCCTCTATGTGTTGATCTTCTCCTGCCTGCTGACAGCTCTCGTGCTGAGGGATCCATTCTACATCAGCAGCTTCCCTGCGGTCTTGCTGCTGTTTTTCCTCTATGGCCTGGCATGTGTAAGTCAAGCTTTAAAGACAGATTTTCTCACCACATGATTTATCACCTTGCTGATGTGCTGAAGTATTACTCCAGAGCTCTTTGCACAGTGCTTTGCACGGCCTTGCTGACTGAAGGCAGCTGAGTGGCTCCTGTGACTCAGCAGCAGTGATTTGATTTGCAGCCTGAAGGTCGGACAGGCAGTAGGTTGGCCACAAAAAGCCTGATTTGAAATTCAGATCGACCCACTAAGAAAGACTTTATTGTGTTATACTAACTCACCAGAGACCTGCCTGCCTGGCAAACGGACGCGCTGCTGTTAAAGGTATTTATTTCCTTCAGTGATTGAAGGAAACCTCTGTTCTTACAGATCCACCTGGTTTTCCTCCTCTGCTCCCTCTTAAGGACCTCCAAACTTGTCAGCTCTGTGGGGTTCCTCATCACCTTTATCTTTGGATGCCTGAGCCTGGCGGTGCTGGTAGAAAACGTTCCTGAACCACTGAAGTGGTTTCTCGGTCTCTGCTGTCCTTTCGCGTTTAACGCGGGCGTTGCCAAGGTAAGGGCCCCACCTCTGCAGCTGAACCTTCCCCTGCTGGCAGAGAAAGGCACGGGAGGGCACATCCTCCTTTACAAAGTCCAGCTGTAAAATCTCCAGGTATTTTTTCACTCAGACCCACATCCCGTTTTGAAACCTCCCCGCGGCCTGAGCTGCTGTTGGGCAGCAAAGAGGGGCTCCAATGCCCCCCATCCCATCCCACCGTTTGAAAAGCAGATGAATGCAAAGGCAACACGGCCCTGGTCACAAAAAATCTGCTGTTGTGCACTTCTGTCACTTCCACATGACCCCGAGGAGCCCATCCCTGCACACAACAACCCCATTATCCTCGGGGCCGGGCCTGGGCGGGCAGGAGTCGACTTGGGGACATCAGGGACATCATCTCTTGGCTGCCCCATCATTCCCCTCTCTCTGCTGCAACTCTTCCTGGCAGCAGAGACTGTGCAAACACAACTGGAGATCCCTGCTGCTGCCATTCTCCTTCCATCCCCACTTTGTGCAGCTCCCCAGTTTTCCATCAGTCATATCTCCACAGCTCTGAGTGATGTTTTCTGGCTCCAGCAGTCTAATATTTGATTTCCTGGTATATATATATTAAAAAAAAAGTCTACCTGGGAGAGGAGATTTATGGACCAGCAGAAAAAGAGACTGAATTTGCTGCTAATTTGCCATTTGGTTAAATCAACCACTATGTAAAATTATACCATTTTCATCATGCCTCTGTCACATCGAGGGTGCCAAAATCATGTTTCTTGAATGATTTCCTCTAAAACTCTGTTATTTATTTCTGTTTCTAGATTATTCTGGAAAAAGTCTGGATTAAATCTTTAAGATCTCTGCACAGAACAAATTTACCCCCTTAAATTTATTCCCCTCTAGAAAGTAAGAACAATTGGTCAATACTGCAGATGATTTCCAGGTTAACAAAGACAATTGGACCCATTGTTTGATGGCATGGGCATCATTCTCCAGCCTGAAAATTTTTCTTCTTTGTCCTTTTTTTTTTCCCTCAGATTTTCTATTTGGAAAAATATGGAATGGGTTTCTCTTTTTCCAACCTTATGGAGGAAGCATACTTTTTATTTTCAACTTACATTATGCTGGTCTTTGACTCAATCTTGTACATGCTGTTGGCTCTGTATTTCGACAAAGTTCTGCCAGGTAGCTCTGATTTATGCTTGTGATCCTACTATCTTCTTTTATATTTTATATTGGTATGGATTGCATGGGATATATCAAGGAAATGATGGGCTGCTCTGAGTCAATCAAAATAGGGTTTGGTTTTTGACTATTCTACCCCTGGCACATGCAAAACTCACAGAATCAAAGACAACACAGCATTTAGTGGTTTTTCTTTCTAATAATGCTGCTGTTGAAGTGATTATGAGATTACAGTGTAATAATGTGTGGGGCAATATTTTAATTCATTACACGAAGTATTGAATTCATTAAATAAACCCCTGAAGCCAAACTTCTTGTCTCTTCTACCTCTGCTCCAGACCTGTTTTTTTTAACTGGACAAAGTGCCAGTTTTGAGGCAGCCAAGCACTTACTAGTTCAGTTTAGTTAAATGTTTAGCCTTGGATGGTGCCTTGGTTGTGGCTCTGGTTGATGACAGGTCATCTTTGCTTTCCTGGTAGGCAAATATGGCATTCCAGACCCTCCTCTCTTCTGCCTGAAACCCTCCTACTGGATGAGGAGCAGGAGAGGCTCCACCAGGGACATTCCCAGACCCACAGCCAACCCTGAGGAGCTCCTTGGTGACGACGTAGAGCCGGTGCCCCCCGAATTCCGGGGGAAGGAGGCCATCAGGTTAGGGAAGAAGTAACTGCTATCCATGCTTACTGAATTGGGTACTTGGGTTTAATGCTCCACAGATCCCAGAGCCTTCCATCTGCTGGGGTTTGACTTATCCAGGCAGCTCTCATGTTTGTGAGGCTCTTGTAAAAACACTTGGTTTCACAGGCAAAAAATCAGAGACAAAATGCAGATGAGATAATTAGGTAATTCAGACCCATCACTAATGGTGAAATTTAGATAAATTCATAAAAAATAACAGGGTGGGGTTTTTCTTGTTGTTGTTGTTGGTTGGTTGGTTTTTTTTTTGCTGTGGACTTTAAATGTTCTTTAGGGACAAAAAGGAGAATGTAGAGAGCAATCCATTGGAAATCTGATGCAATGGGTTGGGCCTTGTCTTTGCAAGGGTTGGTGCCCCATTATTGGTGCCAGACAGTGACATTCACACTTGAGCACAGGGGATGCCAAACCTGTGAATCTCAGGGTTGTTTCCCAGTACCTCTTAGTATTTTTCGTGCCATTTCTGTAATTTTAACTGAAGGCCTACAGAAATGTAAAGGGGCACCAGGGAAATGCATTGACAGAAATCCCAAAATAATGACCTCCTTACTTTTCTTTAGACTCCACAATATTAAAAAAGCATATAAAAAGAAGGACAAGAAGACAGAAGCTTTAAGAGGTATGAGAGCTGTGGTATTGATTCCTGTCAAAGATGAGGGAAAAAAACACTTGTGCACAAACATTTCAGTCAGTCAATGAAATAAAACACTTGCATTACTTGAAAATTTAGGTCAAATATTAATTGATGTGATTTATAAATATTTTTTTCAGTTTTTACCGAATCTTCCATTTTTAATAAAACTAAAAGGAAGAAAGATTTTTTTTTATTGTTGTATTTCTGTCTTTTCTGCTAAATTCAGAGCAACTTCTTAAGCCTTTAGTTAAAGGTTTACAGAGCTTTTCCCTACACTGCTTAATGCTCTTTTAGCTAATTATTGTCTCTTACTTCTTGTGCTTCTTGACTTCTCTTGACTTTGACAATAAGTGGAGGCAAGTCAAACCTCATTTCTTCCCCAGCTTGATGTTGCTTCCATTCTAGGTTTGTCTTTAAATATTTATGAGGGGCAGATCACTGCCTTACTTGGCCACAGTGGGGCTGGAAAAACAACCCTGTTAAATGTGCTCAGTGGGCTCACCTTCCCCTCAGAAGGTAAGATGGAAAATGGGGGGGACGGGGTGGCCCTGATTCAAAAGCTGTAAACACCAGGTCATTCCACCTCTTCACATTTATTCCTGTAAACAGGCTCTGCCACCATATACAACTACAAACTCTCCGAAATAGGAGACAGGAAGGAGATCAGAGAGATGATTGGCATCTGCCCCCAGTTCAACACACAGTTTGAGGTCTTGACGGTGAAGGAAAACTTGAGAACTTTTGCAGAAATCAAGGGCATCAAGTCCAAGGAGGTGGAGAGAGAGGTGAGTGTGTGCTCCCCTGAAAAGCATCACCGTGCAGCAGCACGGGGCTGTTGGAAACCCCACAATTCCATAAAGGCTCCTTTTGCACTGGGAAGCTCAAAGGCTCCACTTGGATGCTGTGTCTTCTGAAAATTGAAGCTCAAAGCCTCACCCAACCTGAACATGGACACTTCCAGGGATGAGGCAGCCACAGCTTCTCTGGGCAACCTGTGCCAGGGCCTCCCCACCCTTACAGGGGAGAATTTCTCCCTGATACCTAATTTAAATCTAAGTCTACCCTAATAAAGGATGGAAGGACAACTGCTGCTGAGAATGGACATCCTTGTGCTGTTCTAGGTGCAAAACATTTTGGAACTGCTGGATATCAGTAACATTCAAGACACTCAAGCTGAGAAACTGAGTGGTGGGCAGAAAAGGAAGTTATCCATTGGAATAGCCATGCTTGGAAACCCCCAGGTAAAGCAGCAGGCACAGCTCTGTAATACAGGGAATATTCAGGTCCAACATAACTAAAACCTTGTCCGTGTATTTGGCTACAAGTTACTAAAATCAATAAATTTAATGATTTAATTTTTTTAAATTCACAACCCACCTTGCTAGTGCAGTTTGGAAGCTGACAGAGAGTTCCCTGACCTCCCACAGCTCCCAGGACAGCTGCCCTTGCATAAGAGGTGACCTGGGTCTCTCGCCTTCGGGACCTGAGGCTTCCAGAACACCAAACCCAAGGGACGTGCAACTGCTCCAGGGATGGGGAATGCCTGATTTCATCCCCTCTGCAGGTCTTGTTCCTGGATGAGCCAACAGCTGGGTTGGATCCTCTCTCCAGGCACCAGGTGTGGAGCCTCCTGAGGGAGCACCGGGCAGGACGGGCGATCCTGTTCAGCACCCAGTTCATGGACGAGGCCGATATCCTGGCAGGTGGGCAGGGGCTCAGCCTGGGGCACCTCTGCAGAACAGCCCCGGAGCAGAAAGCCAGTGGCCAAAAAAGTTTGGGGCGACTGCTCTGCACTATAAACCCCTCTGGCTTTTCCTTCCTTCAGACCGCAAGGCTTTTATCTCGCACGGGCGGCTGAAGTGTGTCGGTTCCTCGCTGTTCCTGAAGAAAAAGTGGGGGATTTGTTATCATTTAAGGTACCTACTTCAGCTGCATGATCTGATATCTGAGGGAAACCAGAATCGATGTAAATGGTAATGCAGGTGTCATTGAAACCAGCAAATTCACAGAATTAATAGTCAGTTAAATTAACTGAAACAGCACTTTACCCCGGAGTAGGGAATGAATTAAGTATTCTAGAGTTTTTTTTAATGCATCCTAGGAAATAATATGGTGGCTGTTGTTTGTTTGAGTGGGTTTTGGGGGTTTTCATTCCAAAACTAAGCATCTGTGCTTTTTCAATCCAACAGGATCCACGTCAGTGAGTCCTGTGACTTGGAGAATGTGACATCCCGGGTTAAGAGGTACATCCCCAATGCCACGTTCTCAGGACACAGTCAGTATGAGCTGAGATATAAACTGCCACTGGAAAACGTGAATAAATTCCCAGGTAATGTCTGTTAAAATAACTGAGAATTCTCCATAGAGAAAAAAATAATCACAACTGTGGGGAAAGTGAAATGAAAAGGGAGAATTTTCTACAGGGGTCACATCAGGACTTCAAAACTGTTGCATTTTGGCTTTTCTGCACAATTTTATCATCCGGGTGTTTAAGATCCAACTGTGTAACAAAAGATTTTCTACTGCTTGTAATGACAAACCCAGCAGGCTAAACTGTGTCATTGAGAGTTCAGTTTTCTTTCTGTTAAATGAAAAGACAGTGATTAGGGAGAACCCCACAGAACCAGCCCCGCTCTGTGCCTGCAGTGGCACCAGGCAGACCCTCACCCACCCTGTCCACCACATTCTGACCATCCTACAGCCCAGTTCCTCAGAGGATGCACAGCCTGAAATGCTGGTGTTAAGCAGAAAAAGATCTCCAGTGTGCTGTGGATCTGGCAGTTTTGTGTTCCTCCAGACCTTCATTGCTCTGTTGTTTTCTCCCTCATGGGAGATGTTCCAGGTTGACTAAGCTGAACCAAAGTGGTCTGGAGACACTCCAGTACTCATGCACTTGTTTTATCTCTGTCCTGCAGATCTGTTCAGTGGCCTTGACAGCTGCTCTGAGCAGGGAATTATCAATTATGGAGTCAGCATGACGACCCTGGAGGATGTCTTCCTGAAACTGGAGGAAGAAGACACGGCGGACCAAGAAGGTACAATCGTGGCTGTGAATACACAGCCCACAGCCAAAGAGATCAGCTCCTCTGAGATAACCCCTGGACAGGCCTCAATTTTCACAAATGACAGCACAGAAGGTGTTCTTAGCCATAAATGTGCTCGTGGGGACTCTCTGCAGATGAGCACGTCCTCGGGGACGAGCGGGCAGAGGCAGGACCGCGAGGCTCCGACGAGGCCAAGCCAGGCTCCCTCCTGCTCTCGGATGCTGGGAAGGTGACAGTGGATGGCCTGGCTCTCTGGAGGCAGCAGGTCTCTGCCATGGCATGGGTGCACTTCTTAAAGCTCAAGAGTTCGGTGAAAAACCTGCGGTCAATGTAAGTACCAAAGTGAGTCTGCCTTGGAGATCTGGAGCCTGGACGCAATTGCCCCCCAAGGCCACACTTGGGGGGGCAATTTCCACACCCCTGTTTTGATGGAGTTTGGCTTAATTGGTATCAGGTCTTGGGCATGGACGATCTGGGTAATCTACACTCAGAGGAGAGGAAAGCTTCTTCCTTTCCAGCACCAGGAACACAAAATCTCCCTGTTGTGTATTTCATTTCTGTATGAATAATTTACGTAAGAGAAATCCATTTTCTTTCTGAAGAAAAGAATCATTTAGAAACACTTGTATTTCAGATGGAGGAGGGGGTTTTAAAATAAGCTAATGTGTACAGAGAGTACCTTCAGACTTCCTTTGCAATTTTTTTCAATTTCTATAGTGTTGCCAGTGCCTAAACTCATTTGGCCCCATTGGTGTTCAAGCTGTCATTTCCTGGTGGAGCACAAGAAACAAAAGGAAGATGCTCATTTATTAAAAACTTGTATCTAAAGGAAGTCTGAAAGGCATTTCATGGCCCTAAAAAGTTGGGCACTCCAGATCTGAGGTCCTCTCCCTGTTAAATTTTGCATGTCTTTGTGAATGGTCAAGGTTTGAGACTTCTGGAAATAAAATTCTCCTCTCTGGTGACCAGTGACAGGACCCAAGGGAACGGCTGGAGCTGTGCCAGGGGAGGGTTGAGATGGATCTCAGGAAAAGGTTCTTCCTCCAGAGGGTGGTTGGGCACTGACCAGGCTCCCCAGGGCAGTGGGCACAGCCCCGAGGCTGCCAGAGCTCCAGAAGGGTTTGGACAATGGTGGGATTGTTGGGGTGTCCTGGGCAGGGCCAGGAGTTGGATTCCACAGTTATTGTGGGTCCCTTCCAACTCAGGATATTGTTATTCTATGATTTTTACCAGAAAGAGTTTTGGGCAACCTGAACATCACCCACCAATTCCAATATGCAAATGCATTTCTGCCGAATGTCTGGTTTCAGAAGGTTTATTCATCTCTTTCTTAATGTAGTTTGCTGCTCTATGTGGTTTTTCTGCTTCCTCTGGTTTTGCAACTGTCCCTGGTTGCTGCCTGGCAGAGTGTGAGTGTCTGGGAGCTCTCGTCTGCACGGTACTTCCTGCCCCTGGGGAAGAAATCCTACCTGGAGACGACCACCCTCCTGGTCCACAACAACACAGGTGAGCCTTTCCTCATCCCTCCCTGTTCTGGGGCTTCTTCTTATTCCAGAGAAAAATACCTGACAGAGCAGCTGGCTGTAGGATGTCAGGGATCTAAGGAGATTTGAAGGTTTCCATGGCAGAGGAGCATGGGAATTGTCTTTGAAGGGTTGTGAAGGAAACCCACTTTGGCTTCAGCAGCTGGTGAGGTCCTGATGCGAGATGAGAAAAGGTTCATCAGAGCAAATGAGGTTAGATGGGACACAGCTCTTTCCCTGCCTTAAATCCAGATCTGTATCCAAGAAATAGACACCCAGGCAATTTCTGCATTTTCAGAGTGTGGGACTCTCAAACCAGGCACCACATTCCAGAAAGGGTTCATTGATGCTGAGTCAAATTAATGGGCTACTTGCAGTTATACCTTCAACATTCCCACGAGTGGATGCTATTTTATGTTACTTGGCCAGAGTGGGACACTGTTACCTTCATCAGACAGTCACAAAGGAGAATACATTTTGCAGCACCTTGGAAGAGGCAGGGGAAAAAAATGACAGTGCAAAAATTCAGTCAGTGAGACAGAAATCCATTAACTTCACAAAAGTTAATGTGCAATGATCCACCACACATGTGCTGGCTGATGTCCACAGTTAGTAGAACTTCCCCTGGTTTCATTTGGTGGTCACGGATTTGAAAATAAAATCAAAAGTCAAACCATCAAAGGCTCTTTCATTTTTCAGTATTATGATTCCTCTGCTTTTGGCCTTCACACCAGGCACAGGCATTGACAGCTTCATCCACGTGCTCCAGAGCCAAGATCTTACAGTGGAAATAACCAATGAGGAAAATATCACAGAGGAACTAAAACACAACGGGGCTATAGAGGTGTCTCGCGAAGGTCAGGTGAGGATTTGTCTTCTCTCCCTCCAGTTTCTTCCCAACAATGAATAATTAAGCAAGATGCCTCCATCAGCTTTCCCTGTGGGATGGCCCTGTTGACTCAGGCTCACAGGTACAAAGATTAGAAAGTGTTTTAAGTAGTAAACTACATGCTAGAGGAGACCTTATCTCCCTCACTCTCCACCTCAAAATTTGCATTTTTTTAGCACAGACTTCCAACACCTCATAATTTGGTGTTTAGCAAACAAGGCACAAACAAAATTATTCCAGGCCTGGATTCTCCCCATGTGCTCCTTTTCCACTGCTTCCCTGCAGATGAGAAAAGCCAAGAGTTTTCATCTTGTTTCCTTGCCCTTTGAAGAGCTACAGGTTCACCGTGCTGTGCCACTTGGAGGCCGTGAACTGCTTCCCTGTGCTCGTGAACGTCATCAGCAACGCCCTGCTGAGGACCCTCAACTCCACCGGGCACATCCGGGTCTGGAGCCACCCCTTTTTCTCTGTAAGTGATGCCAGAAGGGGTCAGAGAACAGTTTAAGGCCTCAGTAAACCCTCAGGTTTTAATGGGGAGCTGTGCAGGGCTGTCTGTGCCTGTAAACACGTGGTCCTCACTGGTGACTGTTTGACATCAGGAAAACTGAAGCTCATTTTTCCCTTGTGGGTCTCGAGGGCTGCTGATCAGAGAGGGTGGCTGGGAGGGCTTCTCCAGGACGTTCCTTATCCTCTACATCACATTTTTCAAGCTGTGGCTCATCCCAAGTCTGGGATGGAGGAGTAGGACCTGCACCACCCATCTCTCCTCACCAGGGGCAAGCACTTTGCAGGGCTATGGTTTGTGAAAACCTTCCTCCTCTTGCCACTATTTGGTTTCAAATCCCACTTTTTGTTCACAGTGCCCTGTAACCCATGAGAAATGCAGTAAGATGAATGGTTGCATTACGTTGCAGACCATTTTCTCCAAATGCTTTGTTCTTCTGTTTTCAGATCTACAATCCACGATACTGGGACTATTTTATTTCCTTTTACCTCATTTATATGCTGTTGTTATTCCCCGGGTTTCCTCCTCACTTTGCAATGGGCTACATGCAGGACTACAAGGTAAATTCCTTGAAAAGGAATATTTGGGGTGGGGGCTACAACTGCATTGCCACAAGGATGTTTGAATATGGAAGCAGAGCATCGTTTAGGCTGGAACAGAATCATAGAATCATTCAGGTTGGAATAGAAGCACAGAATCATTTAGGTTGGAGTAGAAGCACAGAATCATTTGGGTTGGAGTAGAATCATAGAATCATTTAGGTTGACTCCAAGGTCATTGGGTCCAACCATATGATGGGCAGCTTGAAGTGTTTTGATCTGTATTGCCACGAGCAGCTTCGCAGCCACCACAAAATGTGAAAAGACAAAAAGAGGTCGAATTTTATTAGATTTTTTTTTTTTATTACCTTTTCATTTCCTGGAGCCACTCTCATGGGTGCAGTTGGCCAACCAGGCACTGACAGCAGACTCCCCTTTGCATTGTGCCTTCCCAGGTGGGAGCTCGTGCCCAGCTGAGGATCTCGGGGCTCTTCCCCTCGGCCTACTGGTGTGGCCAGGCACTGGTGGACATCCCACTGTGCTGGATCCTGCTCTTCTCCATGTTTGGGCTCCAGTTCGCAATGAGCACCAGGACTACTGGGACCATTAGCATCTTCTTACTGGTACATCCTATTCTGGTGATTGCTGGTTCCCTGGGGAGGGACTGAGGGAATATTTGGAGGCAATATGAGTGGGGGCAACTGAGACACCGTGGGGTCAGATGGTGCTGGAGCACCTCTGGGTCCACTTACTGACCTTCTCCTTGTTTCACCTCTTATCATTTGGGTTTCTCCAGCTGGAAATAAAAGGCAATAAATCTTGCCTTGATGTACTCCTTTACACCTCGCAGTAAAATTGGGGTAATTACTAAATGACCTTAATACATGATCATTTACCCTGAGCCCCATGGGTGTGCGTGGGTTTCTGATGGTTTAGATCACCCCATTTTCTCCAGTGAAAGCCTTTCTTTTCTGCAGGTCGTAGGGACGTTGGGTTATGGAATTTCTATCGTTCTCTTAATCTACTTGATCTCCTTCACCTCTCGCAAAGGATGGAACTGTGACCTTTGGTCTTTTATCCTGATAGTGGTAAGCACATGGTTGGATAATGCACTGCAGGCTTTACAGAAGGGTATTTTGAGATCTTAAGGATGAACTAGATGTCAAAACACCAAGTGTACATGTGGAACATAAATATGGGCATGTGTTTTATAGCAACCAGTTCTGCATTAAACTTGTGCTGCCGTGTTCTGTTCCCACAATCCTGCTGTGACATGGGGAAATACTTGGATCCATCTTGAGCTAGATCCTGGTGCAGGAATGGAGGCAAAAAAAAGGGTATTTATCACTCTGCTAAACACCTCCCATCCAAGAGATGTAAGGAGTTGAGATAGGAGCCATCAGGTTAGACTCAGATCACCCGAGCCTGGAAGGAGATGGATTATTTGGCATGAATTGGAATGGGAATGAACAGAATGGGATCCCACACTTCATTCTTCTGCCTGAAGCAGCCCTGTGTCTGGGAAGAAGTCTCCCTAGCTGGCCCAAACCAGCAGCCTACTCCAGGCAGAGACAGCTGAGGACCTTCTGAACCATCACTGTTTCTCATCTTCATATATTTAATCCATTTTTATAAATTCAACAGGGAATTGCAAAGCTAGAACCACACAATTTTAAAGACCAGTGAGCATAACCCTTCCCACCAGCTAAGTTATCCTCCTGTTTTGTTTTCAGGTGTGCTTTATCTCTTTTGTAATCAGCAGAATCATGGATTTTACAACGGACTCTCGGAACTCCCTCTACATTATGTCTCTTTTGATTCCCGTGTACCCACCGATGGGTTTTGTGGTCCATCAGGTAAGTGGTGCTGCTGGGCAAGGAGAGGCATAGAGCACAACTCTGGGTCCTTGGGAGCCAGGTCTGGGGGGCTCATTCCAAGTGGGATTTCCCAAATGGACAGAGTCCGTCATTAAATGACCTTTTCAGATCAGGTCTCGTTTTTCCAGCTGTTCATTAAGGGCTGGGGGGTCCTTCTCAGGCTGCTGAACTGTGGCTGTGGATTGGGTGAGCACTCTTAATTCTTTCCATGCAGAGTCACAGAATCACAGAACAGAAACATGGACTGGTTTGGGTTGGCAGGGACCTTAAAGCTCATTGTGTTCCACCCCCTGCCACGGGCAGGGACACCTTCCACTAGCTCAGGTTGCTCCAAGCCCCGTCCAACCTGGCCTTGGACACTTCCAGGGATCCAGGGGCACCCACAAAGTCAAGCAACTTGGCTAGAAAATTCACAGGAGGAAATCTGAAGTCACACATCTGACTTTGCATGGAAACAGAGTGAGAATTACAAATACTCACCAGGTGCTTTACTCTGTGTCAGCTGAGGGTGGTAGTGGAAAGTCAGATGAGAATTCAACAAAACCCTCCAGCTCTGTGCAAGACTGCTTATAAATGATAAATGACTTAGGGGTTAAGTCCAAGTAGAAGAGACTCCTCCACTGTCCTGCCCCACTCACCTCCACCCCTTCTCCTCTGGGACCCAAAGGAGAGGAGACCAGATGTTTTCCTGGGATAGGACATCACCCCTGGAAGGAGAGCCTGGTACATGTACTGGGGGCTGGGACATTTTCTGGTGTAGGACTGGGGTGCCCAGTATTTGTTCTGTATTTGTTCATCTGTATGGTGAATGTTTGGGGTTAATCAGAAGCTTTTGTACATTTTTAAAAGCATTTTTTCAATGTTATTGGATTACCCAGAATGATACTAAAGAATTATGGCTTTCATTGTGTACTTTTTTTTATTCTTACAGCTTTTTAAGGACTACTTTGACACGACTTCTGGCAATGATGCACTAGTCTCTGTCTTTGCAGTAAGAAAACATTGAACATTACTTTTATATAGGAATGTGGGTCTCCTAACCAGCCCCCCTAAGTTATGAGGAAGCAGGAAAAACCTTGAGCACACAGGAGGAGGATCTGGGTGGGTCTGGCTGACAGATCACCCCCTGTGCTAAAATAACCTCATACTTTTGAAATGGGAAAGGGAAAAGGGAATAAACCCAGATCACTTACTGCTGCCCTGTTATTCTATGATTTGGGGGCTTTTTCCTGCCCTGAATATCTTCTGCAGTGTTGATAAGTGATAATAGAGTTCACAGCCTTCAGGATTACCCTGAGTTTAGATGGTAATGGACTTCATTTTCACATCCTGTGTTTTCCCCCACATATTTTGTAACACTGCCACCACCTCAGTGCCAGCTGCAGTAGTAGGGAAGGCAAGTCTGTTAATGTGGCAACCTCTTTTTTTTTTTTTTTTCAGCCCTATGTCCATTCTGTGGCTTTTTTTTTTCTCCTTCGCTATTTGGAGTTAAAATATGGAAGAGCAGTTCTGAGAGAGGACCCAGTATTTAGGTTTGTACAAACACACACGGCCCACATGCACACGTGAGATCTAAACTCCCACCACACTGCTTTTCCTTGAAGACATCATTGCCCTTGTGTCCTGTGTATTTTTAAATAGGGTTTTTTTAAATACTGATGATTTTTTAATGACTGTGATAACATAAAACAGCTCTCAGGCTTGTAAGTACTTCCACATGATGTTGTCTGTGCCCTGGGAGGTACCAGCTTGGTTCTTTGTACAACATAGAAAGATTATAAATATTTTAATAATAAAAAGAATGATGATGATAGTAATAATTAATAATTTAAAAGTACAAGGAACATTGAGTCAGAGTGACATTCTCTCTTAGTCTCTCCAAAACACACTGGCAGAGAAAAAGGGTAAAGAACAAAATCCTAAGACAAATCTGATGGGTTTTCAGGATTACCCCAAGAAGAGAAAGCAGCCACCAGCACCCCAAGGAGCTGGAAGAGGAAGATGAAGATGTTAAAGCTGAAAGAGAAGCAGTGAAAAATGCCATAGCAGCTCCAAGCCAGGAGGAGGTACAACTGACTGTTGTCCTTCTTGTTTTGTTTTATTTTATACCACAAACCACCAACTATCAATTAGAGCAGGTCAGTGCTCTGGCTGTGTTGTTCTCACTGGGAAAATAAAACTCCAAAAAATACAGTGTGGGTTCCATCAGGGTAGAGGAGAAAACTGTTTAGGGGAAAATGGACAATAAAGTGTCCTGTGGCACCTCATATTCCTGGTGAACTATAAAACGAAGATCTTTAGAAGATTTTCTGCCTTTTTTAATGGAAAAATACTACTGAAGGATTAATGATATCCAAGATAATAAACTGACCTTGCTTCTTCCTCTTCTCCTGCAGAAATCAGTCATTATAGTCAGCAATCTGTGCAAGGAATACAAAATAAAGAAAGCTGGTTCTGTTTTTAAGAAGAAGAAGAAAGCAGCCACCAAGAATGTTTCTTTCCGTGTTAAAAAAGGTGAGAACTGGGACTGTTCTCCTAGACCTGTTTTAATCATACCCAGAGAGTTGATTCTCTGCAGCTTCTCAGTTATCTGAGCAAGGACATAAAGGTCAAATGTATTTGCTCAGTCATTAAGGCAGGTTTGGTCTGTGTTAATGAACCACGTGATGGGGGTCCATCCTATTAGTTACCTTTGACTACCCATTATCTAAAATAACGTAGATCCTGGAGAGAGGGTCCCCTTTAGCAGTGGCTTCTGGGATCAAAGCTCAGACTTGCAGCATCAGCTAGAGCTGGAATGCTGTGGGCTCTCAGAGCATGTATTGTATAAAATAAACCAGTTTATTTTATATGATCTTTGATATTTGTATTTTTTCTTTTGGGGGACTGTGATATATTTCTTGGATGAAGACTATTCTTAAGAAATTAAATGTACTTGTTCCAGGAGAAGTATTAGGACTTCTGGGGCCCAACGGAGCTGGTAAAAGCACAGCTATCAAAATGATTACTGGAGAGACAACCCTGACTGCTGGGCAGGTAGGAGACATCTGGAGAAAAGGGATGGATCCATGATAAAAGAGCAAAACTTGCACCTAAGCTAAGCTATAATTTTTGTCAAACTGATGAAGGTTTTAACTTAATTCACCGTGCCACCAAATCAGATAATGCGCTAATAAAAAATACTGAGCTACTTGTAATTTTGACAAGCGGCTGCACCTACCCCAATTGGCCATGTTTGTACTTTAAAACCATGCAAATGAGGGTTGTGAAATCACTCCTTGGGGTTTCCTGCCCCGAACCCCAGCGAAGCCCAGAGCTCCGAACGCACCCCTGAGCCTGGGCAGGGCTGTGCGAGGGGAAAACCACCGCCCCGGTTGTGCAGGTGCTGATGAAGAGGGGAGATGGAGGAGCAGCCCCCCAGGACCACGGGCCCGCCTTCCTGGGCTACTGCCCCCAGGAGAACCCGCTCTGGCCGGACCTCACCGTGCACGAGCACCTGCGGGTGTACGCGGCCGTGAAGGGGCTGCGCAAGGGGGACACGGCGGCCGCCGTCACCAGGTACCGAGGGAGCATCCCCAACCTCTTACCCCCTAAAGGGGAGGGCACCAAAAGGTCAAAATCCACCGTGAACCACAGGAAACCTCAAAAGAAACTCAGGAAATGCGGCGGCAAAAGTGCTTTTTGTGCCGAAAGCCGCGGTTGGGTGGGTTAAGAAAACTTCCAGTTTTGCCGAGGGCGTTCAGAGGGGATGTTTTTCTTTTCAATTTAAATGTCCTTTTAGGGGTGTTATCTTTTACGTGTGTTATCTTCAGGCAGATTTCTAAAATCTTTAACGTTACAGTTTGGCACAACAAGAAAGGGTTTTAAGCACTGCCTGCTCAGCTGACTCTGGCAAGGTGGAATGGATTTATGATGCTCTTGACGCTAATGATGGGTTTAGAAAAGAGCTTGTGGCTTATTCAGTACACTTTGCTTCAAATATTCACTTACATTTTAACAACAAAATAAATGATTAATGAAAACAAGCAGGAGTCAAGAGCAAGGGGAAGAAAGTTCCTTTTCCTTGTCATTTTGGGAATCCTTGATGAGCTGTTGATTTGAAATAACAAAAATGTTCTTTTTTTTTCACTTGTTCCCTTTCCCCACAGAATAGTGAATGCTCTGCAGCTTCAAGACTACTTAAAAAAAAAAGCCAGAAAATTATCTGCTGGGATAACCAGAAAGGTGTGGGTTTGGTTTACCTGTAATGGGAACTGCAATGCTCACAGCACAAATTAAAAACCTCCTTCATGAGTGGGAGGGACCTACCTGTGCTCTGAGCCTGGGAGAGCATCACGTTGCTTTCCCCGTGGTGGGGTGATGGGAATAAGCCTTTTCCAAAACGACTTTTCCTATAAATCGGAACCTTAATTTCCAAAAAACAGGCCAATTTTGTAGAGTGCCAAGGGCTGTCAAAGCTTTGACTGAACCCCTTTCCCTGCCCTAGCTGTGTGTGGCCATGTGTATGCTGGGCAACCCCTCCGTCCTGCTCCTGGATGAGCCCTCCACAGGCATGGACCCCAACGGGCAGCGCCGTGTCTGGTGAGTAGGAACTTCACCCCAGTGGTAAAGGGGTGGGAAACCAAAAAGCAGATGGCTAACTTTAGGTAAGGAGTGTTTTACCCCCTCCACAGTTGGTGCTGCTCAGCACGTGCCAGCGGTTTTATTGGAAACTCCCATGTTCTTGGTTCTCTCTGGATCAACCACGGGCAAGGAGAGAGAAGAACTATTTTACCTTCATCCTTTTTTGCAGATTTAGGACAGTCATACACGGGATTTGGAAGAATTCCTAATGACACTCGAGTCAAAAGTATTTTTTGTCATTATTTCAAAGTACTACCCTGTGCTCATCAGTCTAAACTCACTGTATGTGAAGATTATACACTTGCTTTAGAGGAGAGGCATTTGGAGGGACAGAGGTATAGGGGAAAGTGTCTGATATTTCTAGGGAGCGTTAGACTTTCTTTTTTATCTTTTTTTTTTTTCCCCTCTGATCCTCAGGAAGACGATCCGTGATGCCCTGAAAACCAAGGAGTCGGGAGCCATCCTGACCACGCACTACATGGAGGAGGCAGAGGCCGTGTGTGACCGTGTGGCCATCCTGGTGTCTGGGCAGCTGAGGTGGGTGACAGCACAGCCAGCACGTGGCTGAGCTGGGAAACCATCCCTGTTCCTCCCCTGGCCTCACCTGCCCCACCCCATCACTGTGGGCTTTATGAAGTGCTCCCCGTGGTTTCCCCAAACGCACCATTTGGGAAGGAGCAGGCAGTGGGGTTGCAATGGTTTCACACCAACTTCTATTCTTGTTCCTCCCTCCCTCCTTCCCCTGCAGGTGCATTGGCTCCATTCAGTACCTGAAGAACAAATTTGGCAAAGGATACCTGCTGGAAATCAAGGTCAAGGATCCAGAGCACACAGACCTTCTCCACGCTGAGATTTTGAAGATTTTCCCAAGTGCAGCCCGCCAGGAGCGGTAACCAAAAAATTTGGGATGATTAGTGGTTTCAACACTGCCTCATTCCTAAAAATATGCCCAGTGTGATGGCCAGACACAGGATGCCAGGTGGAGAAGGATGAACAGCTCAGAGTCCCAGTATGGAGACCTGATCTGATAAAGTCCCCACATCCAACCCCGCTGTGATCCTGGCAGCAAAACATCCAAACATCCATAAAGTTTTGATCCCAGAACCTTATTACAAAGCAAGAGTCACCTCTCCTTCTTTTTCTTGAAGGTTCCCCTCTTTGCTTGTCTACAAGGTCCCAATGGAAGATGCACTGCCCCTGTCTCAGTCTTTCTCCAAGCTGGAGGAAGGTAAGAGCAAAACAAGGTGACTTGTTGAAAGGGTGGAAAACACAGACTGTTGAGTTTTGACTCTGTTCCCATTTCTCCACAGCCAAACGAAGCTGCAACCTCGAGGAGTACAGCTTCTCCTTGAATACTTTGACTCAGGCAGGTGATTTCAGGGCTAGTTGTGCTGCAAAGGCCTGAGAAGGAACAAAGGCTGCAGTGAAACCTGGGCTGGCGCAGTGGCAGCTCCACCAAAAAGCTGCCAGAGGGTGCTGGGTGGGGAGTCCTCAGCTGGGAGAGTGGTGATCAATGGTCTGGGATTTTTACTGCTGGGATTTTCCATGGTGGGAAAAAGTGTGGGTGAAGTCTCAGTCTCCACTCACCTGAGATGGGCACACATCACACCCAAGGCATGGATGCCCCTGGTAGGTGCCCATGCCCAACCTCTCCAGTTTCTTTGGAAGCAGCAGGTTATTGCTGCTTGTACAGGGCTGGTGGCAAAGATGAGGAATGTTTATGTCAATTAATTGGTGGGTAAAACCTACTGTATGGATCTACCTATGGGCAGGTGGTTCCTCTCAGCAGGTTATCCCAGAGAACACGTTGAGTGTCAGCTGCCATGTACCTGCTCCCCACATAAAAGTGCTTCCCACACCTCTGACAGGGGCTGCAGAGCTGTAAAGGAGCATCACAGCATCTTGTGAAAGCCAGGAAAATCATCTGAGTTTTATCTTGCACGTTTCAGGTGTTTTTGGAACTCTCCCGAGAGCAGGAAAAGGATAATTTTGATCTGACTTTGGACGGGACTTTCGAGTGGAAACAGCTTCAGCAGGAGGAGTGTTGAAGGCCCAGGATGCTCATTTATGCATTACTCAGTATTAACCAAATGCACATATTTACTGCCACTATCAGTGTATCACAGAGAGGGGGAACAGGCTCTGCCTTTCCAGTGACCAGCAGCTGAGGGCTCCTCTCCACAGCAGAAGACATTCCACCTGGACTCTGCAGGCGTCTAAGCCCTATCCCAAGCTGCACTTCCAAAGGGTGGTTGATGAAATAGTGCCTGACTGGTGAGAGCTCTTGTCAAGCAGAGCAGGGTGCAGCCCAGGGACTGAAGGTTTGCAGAAAGAAGGGTCATAACCCGTCTCTGGGGATGGAGTCTCTCTGGATCTGGGGGCATCAGGGAACCCCGACACGCAGCTGACCTTCTGGGCTCCTCCCCCACCAGTGTCTGGGACTATCTGCCTATGACTTGTTCAAATACATCTTATTGAAATTTGCACTCTATTTTTATACCCTTCCAATAAATGTCTCTATAGAAACTGCAGTTACATCCTCATCTGTCATCATTGCTGGGGACCATCAGGAACAGCTCAAACTCCTCCCCCTGGGGTGGAGGTGCTGCAGAGGGCTCGAGGTGATGGCCAGGTAGTTTTAGTCCATCAGGTTGAACTATCTCTGGCTCCCTGGCTTGGCAAGTGCTCCTCCTGCCCCAGTGCTCCTCCTGCCCCCTCTCCATGCTTGGGCAAGTGACTGTCAGTCCTTCCCCTGGAAACCACCCCGGGCTTTTCAGCCTGGAGAAGATTCCAGGGATATCTCAGAGCCCCTTCCAGTAGCTAAAGGGTCTACAACAGACTCGGAGAGGGATTTTTTACATGGGCATGTAGTGATAGGACAAGGGGGAACGACTTCACACTGACAGGGTTAGATCAGATATTAGGAATCAACTTTTTACAATGAGGGTCCAGAAAAGCTGTGGCTGCCCCATCCCTGGGAACGTTCAAGGCCACATTGGACAGGGCTTGGAGCAACCTGGGATAGTGGAAAATGGTCTTGCTCACTGCAGAGGAGCTGGACTAGATGACCTTCAACAGTCCCTTTCAACCTGAACCTCTGACTCTGTGATTTTCCTCCTGTTATCCCTGTGCCCAGATCATTTGCAAAGGTTAAAACTCTCACAGAAAATATTGACTTCAATTCTCTTCATCCCAGTGGTGACTGTGTTGCAATCACTGCTTGTGTACGTTCCCCACTCAGCTTCAAAACATATTCTGGCAGCTGGAGGACACACATTTAGAGAGATCCTGGTTCTTTCCATCTCAGTTGCACAACAGCTCCCTTTCTACTCCTCAGCCCTGAGAAATGGGTAAGTGAAGTCATCAAACATTTTTGTCACCTTTTCATACACTCAGGACCAGGAAATGGGAATTCTGTGCAAGGGAAAAGTTTTATTTAGTGCCCTGGGGATATCAGTGGTGCTGAGGAACTAAAGGCACAGGCCTCCTGAGATAAATACAGTTTATATGATCCATTACTGTTAGGGGTTTTTGCATCAGCATTTTGTGGTCTGTGCCTCTGGAGATGCTGCTGGTGATGTTGGTCCCTCTGCTGCAGTGGCTGCTGGTTTGAGTGGATTTGTGAAATACTCTGGCTTCCCTCTGCTCTGCTCTCTGTGCCTCTGCCCTTACACAGAGACCCTCCAGGATATCTCTTCTCTTTACCACCCAGCATGATGGAACCAGGACCCTTTGGAGGTCTTTGGATGATGCAAAGACCCAAACAGCACTAAAAGGCCCGGAAAACAAGTCCTGTCTTAGAGAGAACATCTCTGGAGCTGGAAATGAGGAGTTCCTTCTGACAGCACTTGGACAGTTGTGTCTTCCAAGGAACTGCCACCAACACCCTCCACTTCCACAGGTTTGACTGACTATTCCCCATGATACTTGACATTTTCCATTGCAGAGGAAGATGAAGGAGCAGAGCTTGCTCCATCACCATCTGCACAGGGAGGAGAAGGAAAAAGAGAGTCCCCAAAGGGGAGCTGGTTGGAGCTGGGGTTTTGCATCAGCCTGGAGGGAAGGGGGACAGGGCTTGTGGCATTGCCAGCTCTCACTGGAGATTTCCACGTCCTGGCCCATGGCCAGTGCTTGGAGAAAGGGGTTCTGTCACCAGCACAAAGCAGAGCTTAGCTGGCAACAGGGAATGAACAAAAGTTCTCAAAAAGTTCACAAGGACTTAGCTTTTCCATTGGAAAGAAAAAAAAAAAAAAAGAAAAAAGAACAAGAGAGATTTCCTGGAAATGAACTGACTTATTGAATACTCCCTTTGGAGTTCCACCCCTCTCCCTTCCCCTGCCCGGAGCTGAAGGGCTGCAGGAGGAAAATCATCCCCAGCAGCTGTGGTTGCTCTACCTGCTCTGGGATTGCAGGGGCTGACAGTGTCACCTCCAGCACAAAAGCAGCCCCAGAACTGCCCTGGCAGTCTGGTTATTGCCCTTGTTTGGCAGTAGAGCATGAGCCCCCCGTGCCCTTTGCCACTGAACCCGGAGCAGAGGGTGTATCCATCATCCTCTAGCCGTGCCAGAGGGTGTATCCATCATCCAGCACAGAGTGGGCGAGGCAGCTCCTGCTGCAGATGCCACATGTTCCCCACAGTAACTCAGGCAATAACTTGATCTTATTAACAGGAAGATTCTTATTTAATAGATGGAATAATGCCCCCTTTATGCAGCAAAGCGATGAAGAGCACAAAGGGCCATTCACCAGCTGCCTCCAACTCTGATCCCCAGGCACCAAATCCCAAACAGGCATCCTGACAGCAAGGAGCAGCCCAAACCTTACAGGTTACTGAGAAAAAAAAGGCCAGATAGTAGTTTCTGAGTGCTAGGGACCAGGGGAGCAAGGCACATCTGTGCTCAGCATCTGGGAGCTTGGGGACAGTGTGTCACCCCAAGATTTGGGGAGCAAAGCAGTACTTGAAGTTGAAGGATAGTCCCTAGGACTGGACAGGAATGGCTTTCCAGGTCTCCTCAAAGCTGTGATAGAGATGGACATTGTCTAGTTCAAAGGCTAATTAAGCAACTCCCCTTTAAGTGCAAGTAAGCAAAACCAGCAAAAAAGTGGTATTTCTGAGAATTCCAAGGAACTTCACAGAAAGCAGTGACACAACTTCTGTGAGTCAAACTTCTGCAGGGTGGGGGGAGGGTAAAGCTGAGAGATGACAAGCAAAGGGCTGGTGTCCTGCAGAGGAAGCCCAGAGCAGGGCTGTGAGATGGTGCCCTGCCTGCAGACACCCTGTGGGGTGAAGGAAACGTCCCCCAGCCCTGAGCAGCTCCTCACAGCCCCTCCTGTACCCCCTCCCCAGCAGCAGTGCCACAGCCATGGGTGCCTCCTCTGGGCAGGCACCTCCAGATCTTGGAGCTTGGCTGGACAAAAAAAACATCCTTTTTTTTACAGAGCAACCCAGGGGGAAAAGAAAAAACAGGAGACAGGACCAGCATCAAAGAGAAAATTATTTTTGTGTGTTCTGGAAGGAAAGGCACCATGAATATGGAGTGTCCCCTGCCAGGATGGCAATGAGTATCTCCAGCCAGGCTTCAAGAGGCTTCATCACAGTGCACACAGCTCCACTGGCCATGCATGGCTGTCCCAGAGCAGAGCCAGATGTTCTTCAAGCTGAAGCAATGAGGCAAGGCAGGTGCTGGCAACCTTGACAGCACAGGAACCCAACTCTCTTTTTCCATTCGCTTGAGACAGAAGAGGAAGTCAGAGTTGGATCCCATCTCCACACATGGAGGGGTGAGCAGGGTGTATCAGCTCCTCCAGTGGGACCCAGCACAGCACTGGAGCACCAGGGTGTTGTAACAAGCATCTCCCAGCATTTAATTTTTAAGGCCTTTCAGCCTGAATTACTGTGCACGGGGAAGCTGAGAGAGGGGGTTTTTCTTCCCTTGCACTGGTACTTCCTGATTCGACTCAGCACCTCAGAACCCTTTTGAGACTTTTCAGCTCAAAATATTCTCCTCAGCAGCAGATGGATAAAATATCAGGCAGAAGACGATGTGTGGCTGTGACAGCAGCCAAACCCAACAAAATATTTGCTTCAAAGCAGGAAGAGGGATAGCGTGTCCAGCTGGAAAAAAGCAGGAAATGGTTTTTAAAAGAGTGAAAGAAGGGGACAGAGAAGGAGATGGTTGTGTAAGACATGATGTTTCAATTAGAGCAGGCCTAAATGATAACAGAAGTTCATGAACTCGTGTTCTAGGCAAAAGGGAGGTGTTTGATTTTTTCCTGTGCATCTTCATCCTGGCACAGACATCAGATGGTGTTTTATGGACAGGTAAATGGATGCAGCTCCAGGAAATTATAATACCTGTAAATAGGCAGCTGTTGGAGCCTGGTCCTTGCTTTGGGCAACTTCTTTCATTCTATCTATCTATCCATCTATCTATTCCTCTATCTATCTATTCCTCTATCTATCTATCCCTCTATCTATCTTAATTAATTAATTTATCAAGTGCCCCAGGATGAGGGGAGGATTTGAGGCAATACTCAGCCTCACCTTGGGCAGCTGAAGACACCTCCTTGCTGGCACTGGCTGCTGGCTTGGGCTGCAGCTTCCTCCACCCACAGATCTCAGTTTTCTTTGGCCTCATTGTGAGAAATTCATTCCTTGTTCTACATGCAAATCCTCTAAAGGGTTCTCAGGATGCTAAGTAGGAATTCAGAAAGAACAACAGAAAGAAGTAAGAGGGGATTTTTTTTGTTGGTTTGTTGTTGGTTTTGTTTTTTTTTTTTGCTTTAATTTGAAAAATAACTGGCCTTGAAACCGCTGGTTTTTTCCCTCTGAAGACAGGAGAGAAGCCTCCTGCCAACCTCATGTCACAGGCCTACACCACATTTCACAGGGGGATCTGTGATTGACTCTCACGAGGGACTGAGAAGGAAAAACGGGCTCCGGTGAGTAAATTATTGCACAACATCCCCTACATCTGATTTCTTGCATTTGCAGAACATCTGTCCCTGTCCTGGAGCTTTCCTGGAAGATGCTGCAGCAAGTACAGGGAAAACAGATGGGGGCTGTGAGTGGGAGGGTTGGAGAGCAGCAGCTCCGTGTCCCCCTGGACACCTTCACAGGGGTGTCCTGCACCAACCCCTCCAGCCCGAGATGGGAGGGCAGGGCATGAAGTCACTGCACCCACGAGGAAAGCTAAAAGTTGAACTGGCTTTAAAAAGCACCTGGAGAAACCCATGCAAGGAAAAGGCACCCCTGGGGAGCTGCTAAACCCTCCCAGCTTAGGGACCCCTGAGCTGGGCAGCAGCTTGGAAAGGGACAGTGGTCACTTGTCACTTGTCCTGTCCTCCTAAAGGACCCCAAAAAGCAGCCAAAGGAGGTGCTGGGTTGCAGTTTTCTCAGGACTCCATTAACTCACTGTGAACTATTTCAGTTAACTTTGGACACATGAACCCAAAAAGGAAAAACTGGGAAGAAATTTATTTCTCGGGAAATAAAAATTTATTTATTGGGAAGAAATCACTTTTTTTCTTT